AGGGGACTTGCCATATTAGATAGTAAAACTCAGCCTAAAGGTACATAATTAAGACAGTGTGGAATTCCTGTGGAGACGTCAAATAAACTAATGCAACAGAAGAGAGAGCCCAGAAACAGATTCATAAAGCTGGATATATGACGGAAGTAACATTTCAAATCAATGGTCAAAGAATGGATGAGTCCATAAAGGGTGCTGCGACAATAGATTAATAAAATGGAAAAAAAGTAAAATGAGATTCCAACTGCACACCTGCACACAAATGAATTTCAGATGGATTAAGACCTAAATGCAAGAACTTAAATATAAATTTTAGAAATAAAGAATATCTTTATGAACTTGGGGAAGATAAAAATTAACTAGACAAAATACAAAAAATACAAAACATAATGATTAAGCGTGAGAAATTTGACAACATGGAAGTGGAAGTCTTTGTGTATACGTACACACACACACACACACACACACGCATGTGCGTGCACAAAAATGAAAAAGCAAACCATAGATAGAAGATATTTGCAACACATATAACTAACAAAGGATTAGATCTAAGATATATAAGGAACTGTCACAAATCACACACACACACAAGATAGAAAATGTGTAGAGTTAGAAAAGGTAAGGAAAAGAATAAGTTTGGGACAAACTGTTTAAAACCAAAAACAACATGATGAAACCATCCAAATGAGAACCACCCTCTTTATCTCTCGCCAGCCGTCTTTATGCTCATCTTTGTCTCCTTTCCATCCATTCATTCAACATTTATTCGACACATACTTATTGATCACCTATTATGTGCCAGGTTCTGTTTTACACTTGGATATGTTAGTGAAGACAACAGACTCAAATCCCTGCCTATGTGATTATATTCTAGCATTGGAGTTAGGGAGGTGGTGGGGAGGCAGTGAAGAAAATAGCAATGAATGTAGTACATAAGTAAATTGCTTGGCGTGCTAGATGAAAATAAGTGTTTTGGGGAAAAAATAGTGAAAAGTCATGGCAATCAGGAGTGCCAAGGTGAGGGCTTCAATTGTCATTGGGTTGTCAGGATAAGCCTTATAGGGAAAGTGAGATTTGAGCAAATCTTTGGAGATGAGGGTGTCATCTGAGGAGATCGCCTGAGGAAACACTATGTGGTGGGAGTGGGCTGGCGGGGGGGGGGCCTCTCCCCCTTACGCTATTATTAAAAGATCTAAGAGAAAATATGAGTAAATGGAGATTTATGTCATGTTCATGGTTTTGAAGGCTCAATGTTGTAAACACGGTTAATATTTCCCAAATTAACCGGTTAATATTTTCCAATAGGAAAAAATAGTGACAAGGTTTCTTGTGGAACTTGACAAGGAGGTCCAAACATACATAAAAGAGCAAAGGACTGCAAATAGCAAAGACAATTCTGAAGAAGAATAAAGTGAGGGGACTTGCCATATTAGATAGTAAAACTCAGCCTAAAGGTACATAATTAAGACAGTGTGGAATTCCTGTGGAGACGTCAAATAAACTAATGCAACAGAAGAGAGAGCCCAGAAACAGATTCATAAAGCTGGATATATGACGGAAGTAACATTTCAAATCAATGGTCAAAGAATGGATGAGTCCATAAAGGGTGCTGCGACAATAGATTAATAAAATGGAAAAAAAGTAAAATGAGATTCCAACTGCACACCTGCACACAAATGAATTTCAGATGGATTAAGACCTAAATGCAAGAACTTAAATATAAATTTTAGAAATAAAGAATATCTTTATGAACTTGGGGAAGATAAAAATTAACTAGACAAAATACAAAAAATACAAAACATAATGATTAAGCGTGAGAAATTTGACAACATGGAAGTGGAAGTCTTTGTGTATACGTACACACACACACACACACACACACGCATGTGCGTGCACAAAAATGAAAAAGCAAACCATAGATAGAAGATATTTGCAACACATATAACTAACAAAGGATTAGATCTAAGATATATAAGGAACTCTCACAAATCACACACACACAAAAGATAGAAAATGTGCAGAGTTAGAAAAGGTAAGGAAAAGAATAAGTTTGGGACAAACTGTTTAAAACCAAAAACAACATGATGAAACCATCCAAATGAGAACCACCCTCTTTATCTCTCGCCAGCCGTCTTTATGCTCATCTTTGTCTCCTTTCCATCCATTCATTCAACATTTATTCGACACATACTTATTGATCACCTATTATGTGCCAGGTTCTGTTTTACACTTGGATATGTTAGTGAAGACAACAGACTCAAATCCCTGCCTATGTGATTATATTCTAGCATTGGAGTTAGGGAGGTGGTGGGGAGGCAGTGAAGAAAATAGCAATGAATGTAGTACATAAGTAAATTGCTTGGCGTGCTAGATGAAAATAAGTGTTTTGGGGAAAAAATAGTGAAAAGTCATGGCAATCAGGAGTGCCAAGGTGAGGGCTTCAATTGTCATTGGGTTGTCAGGATAAGCCTTATAGGGAAAGTGAGATTTGAGCAAATCTTTGGAGATGAGGGTGTCATCTGAGGAGATCGCCTGAGGAAACACTATGTGGTGGGAGTGGGCTGGCGGGTGGGAGCCATCTCTACCTTAAGCTGCACCTGAGACGGTTGGATAAGGGGAAACAGGCCAGAAGGGACAGTGATAATCAACTCTTCAATAAGGAATGGGCACATTTAATTCCGAGTTCTCTGGCAGAGGCTCTCAGATATTGGCAGCTCCAAGACAGAAAACCTTAGTTCATGACCTGCTCTTTACTTGAGGAATAGATGTTCAGGAAGTGGAAAGTGCCAAATATGCAACTCAGATTATTTAAGGTACAATTAAATTTGGTTTAATAATTAAAAATACTTTCGGAATTTTCTCTGGCAGAGATTAGGCTATTAATTAGCATGTCATGGGAACCCAGCATTTATTATTCTCTCAAAAACCCATTTGCAGTGGAAAATGTGCTGAGCCTCATTTGTGAAGATAATTATAGTTGATATCTTCGAGAGTGTCTGCCAAGTTCCCAGTGGTTTCCCTTTTCTCTGGGAGCTGCCTTCAGAATCTATGGTGGGGGGGGCTTTTCTGCCCACATTTCTACTGCATGAGCATATCCTCTGGTCACAGCTCATTGGACCAGAATTGGATCATGAGCAAAGCTGAGCCAATAAGATCTTTTTTCCCAGGAATTTGGAATTGGAGCCAAGGGGGCTAGGTCAGTCTGTCGTCCATTTGGAACTATAAGTCTGTCCATTTGGAACTATAAAGGTGGTCATATTTCACCAGTGGTCTTGAGGAGCTGAGAAAGGTGATCAGCAGGGGGAGAGTAAAGCAAATGCATGGAGAAGATCTTAAGGAGACATAGTTATTCTGCCTTTCTGGTCCCAAGGCACAGATCTTCTTTGAAGTTCAGGTGCCTCCCACCTCTTGGGTTCCATAAAATACTCCAATATAATTCATTGTATTGGTTGCTTTGGCTAGTCAATTGGACTTCCAATACAGTGAGGCCATTTTTTTTCTCACTAGGGATAATGGGTTTTATTTTCATTTATTTACAAACTTTTGTGGAGTACATATTAAGTGTTAGTGGCTAAAGATATAAGACTGAATAAGACATAGTCTTTAGACTCAAATAATTCATTTGTAATGATTCTTTTTTTAAAAGGTTGATTAGGATGTGGGGGTACAGTCTTTGACTTTAAAATACTGAAATTTTTTTTTCTGAGCTTCTTTGACTTGAGAGAATCAAAGCCTAACTTTAACTTATTTAGGGTTGATAGATGTAAAAAGTAGTCTGTAAACTATAGACTGCTATACACTGGTTATGGTAATATCTTCCAATTGAGTAATTCAGCTTAGAGTCTCCATAGGAATGTATATTAAACACAATCCTTTGAAAGGATGCGTTTGATTTAGGAATACAACACAAGTTTTTAAATTGTTCAGTTTGGCTAGAGATATACCCCAAATTTTAAAATTACTTTATTTTTTCATTAATTAAACAATATTTTGAGGTTTCTAATATTTGGAGAAAAGATGCTCTTTTTGTGACCGAAGGATATAATCACATCAAGTAATTGTTGTGAGCTTCTGAAGAAAACAGGTCAATAAAAACAACTGAAACAGAAATAGTACGTAACAAATGAGCTCAAATACCCCTGAGATTGGTCCAGTCATCTGGGTGAATTGTGTAGCAGGTGGGGTTTGGCTCCAATTCCCTTTTCCAAATGTCAGTGAGAGATCCTGCTCACAAGAGAGCCCCTAGCCCTCCTTTTAGTTGATGCTTATTTTCAAGGATCCACTCAGATCTCTTTCCCCTTCTGGAATTTATAGTTCTCTAGAGAAAACTCATTAAATATTTATTAAGGTGAGTGCATTTAAAGCTCTTGCTTTGCTGCCTTGGAATCCAATGTTCTCAATTTCAATAACCAGTTAACACTTAGAACAATGAAAGATGAAGGACAGAAGGGCTGTAGAGACCATCTATGCTGACCATTAAGAGCACAGGCTTTGGAGACTCCGTTGATATCTAGCCTCTGCTGACCTTGAGCAAGTTACTTAACTCTCTGGACCACATGCCTAAAGCAAAGAGAATACTTCCTTTCTCATAGAGGGGTATGAGAATTAAAAGAATGACATAGATCAAGTTGCCTAGAGTATATCTAACTTGTCATGGGCCGTAATTAAATAGTAGTAGCTATTGTTATTATTATTTGCTACAAGTGATTTTCCCATGTTATCCAACTAATAGGTGCAAGATTCAGGTTCTTTGAGTCCCCTCATAGCTATGTCTTTGGTTCTATACTTCCTTCTTTGGGTGGTAGTCTTAAAAGTGACATCATTACGAAAGGAAATCCTAAAGGAGTATGGTCTTTGCATTGACAACATTCTCTTTAACAACATTGTCATTCTCATTAGCTTGGTCATTATCAATATCCCTCTTTTATGATTATAGTTAAAAGGGGATGTTACCATTAAATCCAAGAAATTCCTTATGAAGCCTTTTAAATTCATCTTACTTGAAGTCTTCGGGGTGGATGCCTTTTAATAATACTTGTTTCTCCCTGTTCCAGTGGGATGTCAAAATACATGGCCCTGGGCACTTGAAGGATTAAGGGAGAAACAAGAACAAATCATTAAAAACAATTTACTATTAAATCAGGCTAATCATAAGTTACCAGAGTTTGCTAACACAATTTCATATCGTCTTAGTTATATATATCTAACCTATGGGTTGAATGTGGAGATGAAACATATAAAGCAGGGGCCCTACAAATGCAAACGATAAAATATTGGCCTAGACCCAGGATTTAATTTCTGCTTCCATCATTTCCTCCCCAGATCCATATTTAGAGGAAGATCTGCACAATTAACACTGTATTGATGATAAATGTTATTTAAACATAGAATTTGGCTTGAAAAATATAAACTTATTGATTTGTTTTAATTTCATGAAATCTCTCCCAAATAATATAGGAAATCAGAAATATATATATATATCTTTAAGAAATGAAATATTCTCTTTTCAGATGAAATACGTAGACGGATAAGTATTAGATAGAGAGAGGTGATAAAGAAATGGATCATGAGGGTGTAATAGGAGTATGCAATACTGAGCACTGTATGCTCCTAATTAAATAGTCCTCCCAACTACGGAAAGACATTTCCACAAGTTGCCACTATAATACAGCATGGCAACATTCTTTCCTGATAAAATAGCCCAGGGCTAAGCCTTGTTAGGAAACAGAGAAACTCAAGAGATCCATTATGAATTTGATTTTTTAGCTTGATTGTCTTGGGCCTTTGGGAATACCACCACAACTAAAGCTGCATGAATGAAGTTCTTGTCCTTTCCTCTGAATGATCTGGAAGCATTCTGATTTCCAGATTGTTGTGTAGACTATCCTACATTCTCACTTTGCATTTTAAATGGAAAATTTTCTGGGTAATTATGTATTTCTATCCTTGAGACACTTGAATGACCACCTTAAGTACTTTGCTATGTCCTTACTTTTCAAGAGATGCCTGCATATCGAGCAAGACAGAAACAACATACTTGTTAGATTAAAAATCTAAATACTTTCAGTAAAATTTTCTTCAGCAGCCTGACTACTCCTTATTTGTATGTTATGACTTGAATGATATCACACCATCATTTAATTTGATTCTCCCGAAATGGCATAGGCTGTGTCAGGCAGTTATTTTCACCCCTGATTTATAGTTGAAGAAAATTGAGGAAGTAAATTGCCCAACATTATACTATTTTGTATTTAGTGGAGCTGGGGTCAAAGTATGGGCCCCTTGAAAACAGTGGTCAGAATGATCACCATCCCCTTATTATTTATTTTTATAGTGATTTTTGCATTTGTAAAATAAGAACATTTCCCAAATTGGACTCTAATGCATAAGAACCAGTTTTTACCATTCAGTTACCAAAATCTTAAAACTCTGGATAACGGGTTTAGATAAAAAAAGAAAAAAGAAATTCTTTAATGAAACTAAAAGGAAAATTCCTATTCACGTTCTTAAGACATTGAAGAACATAAAAACATAGGTCATATAGAACCAGCGAAAGGTTGTTGGTTACAGAAAGTAGCCATGAAGATAATTCTAGGTAGGATTTATTAGGTATGGAAAGAGAATATAAGGCATTCTGGCCAAGTTGACCAATAATGGAAACTTATTTGTGTTATTAATCCAGAATGTGAAGAGAAAATTACATATATGTATGTGTTTGTATACATTAAGTTAGAATGTCTGTTTAATTATCATTGCGGTTGTCATAAAACATTTTACATGTCTTGTAAAATATCCTGGAATAACCCCTAGCTACTTCAGGCTCAGTTTCCTATTATAATGGGGGAAAAAAATTCTCTTAGTTCTGCAGGTGACCATGAAAAATATGAGGTTGGGGAGAGGGTGACTCATCCACTCATCCGTATTGCAATAAATCAATTCTATTTGGGATGACCTTCAAATTCACATTAGAATGGACTCCTAAAGTGCAGCTTTCAAAACAACAGAGCCTGATGCATTAACTGGTGCTGGGGAGAATGATTTAAATTTAGAATCTGACTGAAACTTATGATAGTCATAATTTATCCCACCATCTATATAATTTTAATGGTTTGGCAAAACTAGGTATAAACATTGAAAGCACTATACAGATCGAAACAAAATGATTTTTTCTTCTCACGTGGAATGGCAAAAAGCCATTTATGCACAGTTTACACATCCATTCTAATGTACCCAGGATAGTTAAAATAGACGTTCACCTAACTATCCCATCGAAAAATGTCCCCTTGTATTTCAGTGATTTAGAAACTTTCTGAGATTATGGAGATAGTCAGGTAACTCTGTCAATTGCTCTCCTTGGCACAAATACACAAATCTCATGCTGGGTTTTATGTTTACCTGCAGAATATCTTCCATACCAGGTCTCCCGTAGAGGTGGCAGCTGCCCTTCCAAAGCTTTATTCAGGTCCTGCGGTCTTGCAAATGAATATGAACTCTTTTCTTCCAGGTTCTGATTGAATGCAAACTCGACAGGGCTGGCTGAGGGAGTCTCTTCCTCTTTGATTTGCAAAGGTGCTACTTTGGTCACCCTAGGGAGACCCTTAGAGTTACTCAAGCCCATTTTACATTAAAGCCGTTTAAAAGAAAACCATGAGGGAAGTGGCTTTGGGCCTTTAATGTAGCTTGTTTTAATCAAGGTATTTCAGAAGTTTACCCCTGCTTTACTAAACAGTTGTTTCCTTCATGACATCTTTGTAGCTCTATTTCACCACACACTAACCCCTCTGGCCACTTCCTGGGAGGCTGGTTTCCATAGAGACTTCCCTTCAACTCCCACTTGGCCATTTCAGACCCAAAGAATGCAGTTAAACATTGACTTGGTTATACCAGGTTCTGAAAGACTCAGTGGTAGGAATAGAAACCTCTATTGATCATTAAACAAATCTCTAACACCAGGAAGGCCATTAACAGAGATGGAGAGCAGAGGTTCAGAGAAGTCTTAAACTTGTTTCTCTCATTGCACATACCTTTAAACACCATCTGGAAGAACTACCTACTAAGAATAGCTAAACCATCTTTGGACATGAAGGTGATTCAGGACATGGCAAATTTCCCCAAGTGACAGGGAGACCAAATCCTGTACTGAGAGAAGAGGGTCCATTGGCAGAGAGTGTAGAAACAATTCAACACCTACGCCAAAGTCGGAGTCAAAAGGACAGTTTATTAGAAAAGAGGTAACACTCCACCGACAGAGTGTGGTCTCCTCTTAGAGGCAGAGAGTGAGAGGGGCAGAGTAAAGGCACTGAGGGGGACCCTGAGTGTTCAGGGAATTCAGTTTATGTGTCATTCTTTAGTTCCCATTTCCTTTGGTATGGACATAGAGTAAGGAAGGGGAAGAGTAAGTATCATGAAAAGGTGAGAATATGTAGAGTGAAAGGCCTGCTGGCAGTTAGCAGCTTTTAATCCATAGGTTACCCGTGGTTTTAGCCACAGGGAATGACTCTTGGTTCCTGTTTCCCCTTCACAGGTGTGGGGAATGAGCTGTTAGCAATCCCAGCAGAAATCTTCCTTTGTTCTGCAGGTGTCCTCCTGGCCTGGCTGCAGGGCTGATCAGCATATTGCAGTTTCTGATTGAGTCTTGATTAACATTTTAATTCTCTTGCCTCCTCCCTACAAAGACCTAATAATCTAGGTCTTTGTCAATCTTTAATTTTAATTGAAGAATATATCTTCCTAATAGGTAAGAAACAGCAGAGTAGCTAAAATAATTTGATTTTTCTATCAATAACTTGAATTGCCTTTGAAGGCAATGAATATATTACTGGAGGGTAGTACTGGGAGACAATAGGAATT